GCCTGTATTCAAGCCACTGCAAGGAAATCCGAACTCCTTTCAAGTTAGGGCTTCTCGCTGTATATTCCACTTGAGGCAGCAAACTCGGGGTCCCTCCCACATACCTATTGCTGAGAGAAGCCTCCTCTTGAGGTGCTTCTGGAAAGTTGGCATACGTCTTGAGCCTAAGCCATGGAATCAGCTCTCACCTCGAAACGATTTGGGGTACACGGAGCATTCCTCGAGTTGCTGTGCTGAAGTTCGTATTCCTCTAGACTTGGGACAGTGTTCTCGAAGCACCTCTAGAGTTGCCGGAAGGAAGTCAAGCCAATGGTGGTGTTTAATGGGGTACGGGGGATGGCTCTGGAGTCAATGCATGGGAATCGGGCCTCATCTCAAGTTGATGTGGGGTACTTGCAGCTGCTTTGCATTGCTTGGGTGACCTCAGGGTCTGTCTAGACTTGTGACAGTGTTCCTGGGGACTTTCTCGAGTTCAATTAAGCAAGTCGAAGCTCCTGACTTGCATGATGGGGATCACGGGAATGCTCTTCATGGACTGCAGGAATCAGGCCTCATCTCGCATCTAGGGGAAGTCTCATGGTTTTACTCGAGTTGCGGCGCGAACTGGGGTATGTTCTCGAGTTACGGCGGGGATGGCCCTTCAAAACACGTGTTTATTCAGTGACGTCAGGACTCCTGTCTAGTAACGAGAGACACCTCAGGAATCTCTTCGAGGCTTGGCAGGACAAAAGGGATGCTTCTCGAGGTGAGGCAGGGCACCCAAGAACCCTGTCCTGTAGCCACAGTGATTTTGGGATTCCTATCAATGTTCAGGAGGAGTCAGGCATCGTCACATTTTGAAGCAGTGAACTCCGTGTGCCTCTCGAGGTGTCAAAGGGATGTGAGACATTCCGTCAAAATCAGGCAGGGACCTAGGGCTTTCTCTACGGTCTCCACAGTGGATTCAGACATCCCTTCCTGTTGTGAGATGAAAGACGAGCCTGTATTCAAGACACTGCAAGGAAATCCGGCCTCCTTTCAAGTTAGGGCTTCTCGCTGTATATTCCACTTGAGGCAGCAAAGTGGAGGTCCCTCCAACATACCTATTGCTGAGAGAAGCCTCCTCTTGAGGTGCTTCTGGAAAGTTGGCATACGTCTTGAGCCTAAGCCAGGGAATCAGCTCTCATCTCGAGAAGATTTGGCATACAGGAAGCATTCCTCGAGTTGCTGTGCTAAAGTAGGTGTTCCTCTAGACTAGGGACAGTGTTCTCGGGGCATCTCTGGAGTTGTCTGAAGGAGGTCAAGCCACTGGTGGTGTTTAATGCGGAACGGGAGATGGCTCTGGAGTCAATACAGGGGAATCGGACCTCATCTCAAGTTGATTTGGGGCACATGGAGCTGCTTTGCGTTGCTGGGGATACCTCAGGGTCCGTCTAGACATGTGACAGTGTTCTTGGGGACTGTCTCGAGATCCATTAAGCAAGTCGAAGCTCCTGACTTGTTTGATGGGGATCACGGGAATACTCTGCATGCACTGTAGGGAATCAGGACTCATCTCGCATCTAACGAGAAGTCTCATGGTTTCTCTCAATTTGCGCGGGGGACCTGGGGTATCTTCTCGAGTTACGGCGGCGATGGCCCTTGAAAACACGTGTTTATTCAGTGCCGAGAGGACTCCTGCCTAGTAACGAGGGACACCTCAGGAATCTCTTCGAGGCTTGGCAGGGCAAAATGGATGCTTCTCGAGGTGAGGCAGGGCACACAAGAATCCTTTCCTGTAGCCACAGTGATTTTGGGATTCCTATCAATATTCAAGACGAGTGAGGCATCATCAACTTTTGAAGCAGTGAACTCCGCGTGCCTCTCGAAGTGTAAACGGGATGTGAGGCATTCCGTCAAAATGAGGCAGGGACCTAGAGCTTTCTCTAAGGTCTCCACAGGGGATTCAGACATCCCTTCATGCTGTGAGATGAAAGACGAGCCTGTATTCAAGCCACTGCAAGGAAATCCGGCCTCGTTTCAAGTTAGGGCTTCTCGCTGTATATTCCACTTGAGGCAGCAAACTCGGGGTCCCTCCCAAATACATATTGCTGAGATAAGCCTCCTCTTGAGGTGCTTCTGGAAAGTTGGCATACGTCTTGAGCCTAAGCCATGGAATCAGCTCTCACCTCGAAACGATTTGTGGTACACGGACCATTCCTCGAGTTGCTTTGCTGAAGTTCGTATTCCTCTAGACTTGGGACAGTGTTCTCGGGCCATCTCTGGAGTTGCCTGAAGGAAGTCAAGCCTCTGGTGGTGCTTAATGGGGTACGGGGGATGGCTCTGGAGTCAATGCCGGAGAATCGGGCCTCATCTCGAGTTGATGTGGGGCACTTGGAGCTGCTTTGCATTGCTGGGGTGACCTCAGGGTCTGTCTAGACTTGTGACAGTGTTCCTGGGGACTCTCTGGAGATCCATTAAGCAAGTCGAAGCTCCTGACTTGCTTGATGGGGATCACGGGACTGCTCTGCATGGACTGCAGGGAATCAGACCTCATCTCGCATCTAGGGGAAGTCTCAACGTTTTGCTCCAGTTGCGGCCGGACCTGGGGTATGTTCTCGACTTATGGCGGGGATGGGCCTTCAAAACACGTGTTTATTCAGTGACGTCAGGGATCCTGTCTAGTAACGAGGGACACCTCAGGAATCTCTTCGGGGCTTGGCAAGGCAAAATGGATGCTTCTCGAGGTGAGGCAGGGCACGCAAGAATCCTTTCCTGTAGCCACAGTGATTTTGGGATTCCTATCAATATTCAAGACGAGTGAGGCATCATCACCTTTTGAAGCAGTGAATTCCGCGTGCCTCTCGAAGTATCAACGGGATGTGAGGCATTCCGTCAAAATGAGGCAGGGACCTAGAGCTTTCTCTAAGGTCTCCACAGGGGATTCAGACATCCCTTCATGCTGTGAGATGAAAGACGAGCCTGTATTCAAGCCACTGCAAGGAAATCCGGCCTCCTTTCAAGTTAGGGCTTCTCGCTGTATATTCCACTTGAGGCAGCAAACTTGGGGTCCCTCCCACATACCTATTGCTGAGAGAAGCCTCCTCTTGAGGGGCTTCTGGAAAGTTGGCATACGTCTTGAGCCTAAGCCATGGAATCAGCTCTCACCTCGAAACGATTTGGGGTACACGGAACATTCCTCGAGTTGCTGTGCTGAAGTTCGTATTCCTCTAGACTTGGGACATTGTTCTCGGGGCATCTCTGGAGTTGCCTGAAGGAAGTCAAGCCACTGGTGGTGTTTAATGGGGTACGGGCGATGGCTCTGGAGTCAATGCATGGGAATCGGGCCTCAACACGAGTTGATGTGGGGTACTTGGACCTGCTTTGCTTTGCTGGGGTGATGTCAGGGTCTGTCTAGACTTGTGACAGTGTTCCTGGGGACTCTCTCGAGATCCATTAAGCAATTCGAAGCTGCTGACTTGCTTGATTGCGATCACGGGAATGCTCTGCATGGACTGCAGGGAATCAGGCCTCATATCGCATCTAGGGGAAGTCTCATGGTTTTTCTCGAGTCGCGGGGGTACGTGGGGTATGTTCTCGAGTTATGGCGGGCATGGCTCTTGAAAACACGTGTTTATTCAGTGACGTCATGACTCCTGTCTAGTAATGAGGGACACCTCAGGAATCTCTTCGAGCCTTGGCAGGGCAAAAGGGATGCTTCTCGAGGTGAGGCAGGGCACACAAGAACCCTTTCCTGTAGCCACAGTGATTTTTTGATTCCTATCAATGTTCAGGAGGAGTCAGGCATCGTCACATTTGAAGCACTGAACTCCGTGTGCCTCTCGAGGTGTCAACGAGATGTGAGGCAATCCGTCAAAATGAGGCAGGGACCAAGGGCTTTCGCTAAGGTCTCCACAGGGGATTCAGACATTCCTTCCGGTTGTGAGATGAAAGACGAGCCTGTATTCAAGATACGGCAAGGAAACCCGGCCTCCTTTCAAGTTAGGGCTTCTCGCTGCATATTCCACTTGAGGCAGCAAACTGGGGGCCCCTCCAACATACCTATTGCTGAGAGAAGCCTCCCCTTGAGGTGCTTCTGGAAAGTTGGCATACGTCTTGAGCCTAAGCCAGGGAATCAGCTCTCATCTCGAGATGATTTGGGGTACACGGAGCATTCCTCGAGTTGCTGTGCTGAAGATGGTGTTCCTCTAGACTTGGGACAGTGTTCTCAGGTCATCTCTGGAGTTTCTGAAGGAAGTCAAGCCACTGGTCGTGTTTAATGTGGAACGGGGGATGGCTCTTGGGTCAATGCAGGGGAATCGGTCATTATCTCGAGTTGATGTGGGGCACATGGTGCTGCTTTGCGTTGATGGGCTGACCTCAGGATCCGTCTAGACATGTGACAGTATTCTTGGGGACTGTCTCGAGATCCATTAAGCAAGTCGAAGGTCCTGACTTGTTTGATGGGGATCACGGAACTGCTCTGCATGCACTGCAGGAGAATCGGGCCTCATCTCGCCACTAGGGGAAAATCTCATGGTTTTTCTCGACTTGCGGCGGGGACCTGGGGTATGTACTCGGGTTACGGCGGGGATGGACCTTAAAAACTCGTGTTTATTCAGTGACGTCAGGACTCCTGTCCAGTAACGAGGGACAGCTCAGGAATCTCTTCGAGGCTTGGCAGGCACAAGGGACGCTTCTCGAGGTGAGGCAGGGCACCCAAGGAACCTTTCAAATAGCCACAGGGATTTTGGGATTCCTATCAATATTCAAGAGGAGTCAGGCATCATCACCTTTTGAAGCAGTGAACTCCGCGTGCCTCTCGAGTTGTCAACGGGATGTGAGGCAATCGGTCAAAATGAGGCAGGGACCTAGGGCTTTCTCTAAGGTCTCCACAGGGGATTCAGACATCCCTTCCGGTTGTGAGATGAAAGACGAGCCTGTATTCAAGACACTGCAAGGAAATCCGGCCTCCTTTCAAGTTAGGGCTTCTCGCTGTATATTCCACTTGAGGCAGCAAAGTGGGGGTCCCTCCAACATACCTATTGCTGAGAGAATCCTCCGCTTGAGGTGCTTCTGGAAAGTTGGCATACGTCTTGAACCTAAGCCAGGGAATCAGCTCTCATCTCGAGACGATTTGGGGTACACGGAGCATTCCTCGATTTGCTGTGCTGAAGTTCGTGTTCCTCTAGACTTGGGACAGTGTTCTCGGGGCATCTCTGGAGTTGCCTGAAGGAAGTCAAGCCACTGGTCGTGTTTAATGGGGAACGGGGGATGGCTCTGGAGTCAATGAAGGGGGATCTGCCATCATCCCGAGTTGATTTGGGGCACATTGTGCTGCTTTGCGTTGATGGGGTGACCTCAGGATCCGTCTAGACATGTGACAGTATTCTTGGGGACTGTCTCGAGATCCATTAAGCAAGTCGAAGGTCCTGACTTGTTTGATGGGGATCATGGAATTGCTCTGCATGCACTGCAGGAGAATCGGGTCTCATCTCGCCTCTAGGGGAAAGTCTCATGCTTTATCTCGACTTCGGCGGGGACCTCGGGTATGTACTCGGGTTACGGCAGGGATGGCCCTTCAAAACTCGTGTTTATTCAGTGACGTCAGGACTCCTGTCCAGTAACGAGGGACAGCTCAGGAATCTTTTCGAGGCTTGGCAGTGCACAAGGGACGCTTCTGGAGTTGAGGCAGGGCACCCAAGGAACCTTTCCAATAGCCACAGGGATTTTGGGATTCCTATCAATATTCAAGAGGAGTCAAGCATCGTCAAATTTTGAAGCAGTGAACTCCGCGTGCCTCTCGAGGTGACAGCGGGATGTGAGGCATTCCGTCATAAAGAGGCAGGGACCTAGAGCTTTCTCTAACGTCTCCACAGGGGATTCAGACATCCCTTCATGCTGTGAGATGAAAGACGAGCCTGTATTCAAGCCACTGCAAGGAAATCCGGCCTCCTTTCAAGTTAGGGCTTCTCGCTGTACATTCCACTTGAAGCAGCAAACTCGGGGTCCCACGAACATACCTATTGATGAGAGAAGCCTCCTCTTGAGGTGCTTCTGGAAAGTTGGCATACGTCTTGAGCCTAAGCCAGGGATTCAGCTCTCATCTCGAGACGATTTGTGGTACACGGAGCATTCCTCGAGTTGCTGTGCTGAAGTTGGTGTTCCTCTAGTCTTGGGACAGTGTTCTCGGGGCATCTTTGGAGTTGCCTGAAGGAAGTCAAGCCAGTGTTCTTGTTTAATGGGGAACTGGGGATGGCTCTGTAGTCAATGCAGGGGAATCGGGCCACATCTCGGGTTGATTTGGGGCACATGGAGCTGCTTTGCTTTGCTGGGGTGACCTCAGGGTCCGTCTAGACTTGTGACAGTGTTCTTGGGGACTGTCTCGAGATCCATTAAGCAAGTCGAAGCTCCTGACTTGTTGATGGGGATCAGGGGAACACCCTGCATGCACTGCAGGGAATCAGGACTCATCTCGCATCTTGGGGGAAGTCTCATGGTTTCTCTCAAGTTGCGCTGGGGACCTGGGGTATCTTCTCGAGTTACGTCGGGGATGGCCCTTCAAAACACGTGTTTATTCAGTACCGTCAGGACTCCTGTCTAGTAACGAGGGAAACCTCAGGAATCTCTTCGAGGCTTGGCAGGTCAAAAGGTATGCTTCTCGAGGTGAGGCAGGGCACTGAAGGACCCTTTCTAGTAGCCACAGTGATTTTGGGATTCCTATCAATATTCAAGAGGAGTCAGGCATCGTCACCTTTTGAAGCAGTGAACTCCGCGTCACTCTCGAAGTGACAACGGGATGTGAGGCATTCCCTCAAAATGAGGCAGGGACCTAGAGCTTTCTCTAAGGTCTCCACAGGGATTCAGACATCCCTTCATGCTGTGAGATGAAAGACGAGCCTGTATTCAAGCCACTGCAAGGAAATCTGTCCTCCTTTCAAGTTAGGGCTTCTCGCTGTATATTCCACTTGAGGCAGCAAACTCGGGGTCCCTCCCACATACCTATTGCTGAGAGAAGCCTCCTCTTGAGGTGCTTCTGGAAAGTTGGCATACGTCTTGAGCCTAAGCCATGGAATCAGCTCTCACCTCGAAACGATTTGGGGTACACGGAGCATTCCTCGAGTTCCTGTGCTGAAGTTCGTATTCCTCTAGACTTGGGACAGTGTTCTCAGGGCATCTCTGGAGTAGCCTGAAGGAAGTCAAGCCACTGGTGGTGTTTAATGTGGTAAGGGGGATGGCTCTGGAGTCAATGCCGGAGAATCGGGCCTCATCTCGAGTTGATGTCGGGCACTTGGAACTTCTTTGCATTGCTGGGGTGACCTCATTGTCTGTCTAGACTGGTGACAGTGTTCCTGGGGACTCTCTCGAGATCCATTAAGCAAGTCGACGCTCCTGACTTGCTTGATGGGTATCACGGCACTGCTCTGCATGGACTGCAGGGAATCAGACATCATCTCGCATCTAGGGGAATTCTCATCGTTTTGCTCGAGTTGCGGCGGGACCTGGGGTATGTTCTCGAGTTACGGCGGGGATGGCCCTTCAAAACACGTGTTTATTCAGTGACGTCAGGACTCCTGTCTAGTAACGAGAGACACCTCAGGAATCTCTTCGAGGCTTGGCAGGGCAAAAGGGACGCTTCTCGAGGTGAGGCAGGGCACCCAAGAACCCTTTCCTGTAGCCAAAGTGATTTTGGGATTCCTATCAATGTTCAGGAGGAGTCAGCATCGTCACATTTTGAAGCAGTAAACTCCGTGTGCCTCTCGATGTGTCAACGGGATGTGAGGCATTCCGTCAAAATGAGGCAGGGACCTAGGGCTTTCTCTAAGGTCTCCACAGGGGATTCAGTCATCCCTTCCAGTTGTGAGATGAAAGACGAGCCTGTATTCAAGACACTGCAAGGAAATCCGGCATCCTTTCAAGTTAGGGCTTCTCGCTGTATATTCCACTTGAGGCAGCAAACTCGGGGTCCCTCCAACATACGTATTGCTGAGAGAAGCCTCCTCTTGAGGTGCTTCTGGAAAGTTGGCATACGTCTTGAGCCTAAGCCAGGGAATCAGCTCTCATCTCGAGACGATTTGTGGTACACGGAGCATTACTCGAGTTGCTGTGCTGAAGTTGGTGTTCCTCTAGTCTTGGGACAGTGTTCTCAGGGCATCTCTGGAGTTGCCTGAAGGATGTCAAGCCAGTGGCCTTGTTTAATGGGGAACTGGGGATGGCTCTGGAGTCAATGCAGGGGAATCGGGCCATATCTCGGGTTGATTTGGGGCACTTGGAGCTGCTTTGCGTTGCTGGGGTAACCTCAGGGACCTTCTCGACTTGTGACAGTGTTCTTGGGGACTGTCTCGAGATCCATTAAGCAAGTCGAAGCTCCTGACTTGTTTGATGGGGATCACGGGAATACTCTGCATGCACTGCAGGGAATCAGGACTCATCTCGCATATAGGGGGAAGTCTCATGGTTTCTCTCAAGTTGCGCTGGGGACCTGGGGTATCTTCTCGAGTTATGGCGGGGATGACCCCTCAAAACACGTGTTTATTCAGTGCCATCAGGACTCCTGTCTAGTAACGAGGGACACCTCAGGAATCTCTTCGAGGCTTGGCAGGTCAAAAGGTATGCTTCTCGAGGTGAGGCAGGGCACCCAAGGACCCTTTCCAGAAGCCACAGGGATTTTGGGATTCCTATCAATATTTTAGAGGAGTCAGGCATCGTCACCTTTTGAAGCAGTGAACTCCGCGTACCTCTCAAGGTGACAACGGGATGTATGGCATTCCGTCAAAATGAGGCAGGGATCTAGAGCTTTCTCTAAGGTCTCCACAGGGGATTCAGACATCCCTTCATGCTGTGAGATGAAAGACGAGCCTGTATTCAAGCCACTGCAAGGAAATCCGGCCTCCTTTCAAGTTAGGGCTTCTCGCTGTATATTCCACTTGAGGCAGCAAACTCGTGGTCCCTCCAACATACCTATTGCTGAGAGAAGCCTCCTCTTGAGGTGCTTCTGGAAAGTTGGCATACGTCTTGAGCCTAAGCCAGGGATTCAGCTCTCATCTCGAGACGATTTGTGGTACACGGAGCATTACTCCAATTGCTGTGCTGAAGTTGGTGTTCCTCTAGTCTTGGGACAGTGTTCTCGGGGCATTTCTGGAGTTGCCTGAAGGAAGTCAAGCCACTGGTGGTGTTTAGTGGGTTACGGGGGATGGCTCTGGAGTCAATGCATGGGAATCGGGCCTCATCGAGCTGATATGGGGTACTTGCAGCTGCTTTGCATTGCTGGGTGACCTCAGGGTCTGTCTAGACTTGTGACAGTGTTCCTGGGGACTTTCTCGATTTCAATTAAGCAAGTCGAAGCTCCTGACTTGCTTGATGGGGATCACGGGAATGCTCTGCCTGGACTGCAGGGAATCAGGCCTCATCTCGCATCTAGGAGAAGTCTCATGGTTTTACTCGATTTGCGGCGGGAACTGGGGTATGTTCTCGAGTTATGGCGGGGATGGCCCTTCAAAACACGTGTTTATTCAGTGACGTCAGGACTCCTGTCTAGTAACGAGAGACACCTCCGGAATCTCTTCGAGGCTTGGCAGGTCAAAAGGTATGCTTCTCGAGGTGAGGCAGGGCACCCAATGACCCTTTCCAGTAGCCACAGTGATTTTGGGATTCCTATCAATATTCAAGACGAGTGAGGCATCATCACCTTTTGAAGCAGTAAACTCCGCGTGCCTCTCGAAGTGTCAACTGGATTTGAGGCATTCCGTCAAAATGAGGCAGGGACCTAGAGCTTTCTTTAAGGTCTCCACAGGGGATTCAGACATCCCTTCATGTTGTGAGATGAAAGACGAGCCTGTATCCAAGCCACTGCAAGGAAATCCGGCCTCCTTTCAAGTTAGGGCTTCTCGCTGTATATTCCACTTGAGGCAGCAAACTCGGGGTCCCTCCCAAATACCTATTGCTGAGAGAAGCCTCCTCTTGAGGTGCTTCTGGAAAGTTGGCATACGCCTTGAGCCTAAGCCATGGAATCAGCTCTCACCTCGAAACGATTTGGGGTACACGGAGCATTCCTCGAGTTGCTGTGCTGAAGTTCGTATTCCTCTAGACTTGGGACAGTGTT